TTAGCCTGATGGGGTGACCTTTGTAAGTCACTTGTAGTTTCTCTCTTGTCAGTTTTAGTATCTTATCTTTAGCTGTGTTCTTTGCCAGTCTGCCTATGATATGTCTTGTGGAAGATCTTCTTGGGTTGATTCTATTTGGGGTCCTTTGTATTTCTTAGGTCTGGATGCTTGAGTGCCTTTCTAGACTTGGGAAATTTTTTTCCTAGATTTCATGGAATAGGTTTTCTATGCCCTTATTAGTTTCTTCATCTTCTGGGATACCAGTTATTTGGATGTTAGGACGTCTAATGGAATCTAGCATTTCTCATATGTTATCTTCATGGTCTTTGTTTGTTTGTATTTTCTCTATCTTTTTGGTGGTTTTCTATAGGTCAGAAGTTTTATCTTCTACATCAGAGATGTGATCTTCATCATGGTCTAATCAACTTTTAATACTTTTGAGAGAGTTTTTGATTTCCTGTATTACAGACTTCACCTCTAATATTTCCATCTTATTCTTTCTTAGCATGTCCATTTGTCCTTCATATCGTGGAAGAACTTTCTAATCTCCTGTAGTTCATTGTCTCTTTTCTGTTCCAGCTCATAGTATTTGTTCACCATGAATGTTCCAAATTCTTTCTCGGACATTTTGGTAATGTCCTCTAGTTTTTCAAGAAATGAAAGAGAGTCAGTGTGTTCTTTTGATAGAGACATATTTCCTGCTTTATTCAGACCTGAGGTTCTTCTTCTACTTCTAACCATTGGGAGATGTGTTCCCTTTGGAATACCTTTTAAGAGAATGTTTACTTGAATAGGAGCAAGTGTGTTTCCTTTTTGCTGTGGAATGAAGACCGCCAAAGTCTCTCTTCTGTTGTGTTTAGCAATGTGACCCAAGGACAAGTGTTCTCTTCAGGTTTACAAAGAAAAGTATCTCCTTTTTCTCAGGTGGTTCAGTAAAAAGGAGGATCCCAGAGAGACTTAAAATACTTGCTGACATAGATAGGGGTGTCTGATATGGGGGTCCTGGGGCTGCAGCTGGGGCAGGGAGCCCTGCCTCAGTATCCCTTATGCCAGGGATCTGAAGATGGAAGTCTAGCTCAACTTGTTTTAAAATCACCTTGCAGAGTTCCTGGCATATAGTAGTTGTCAAATAATTGAGTACACAAATATACAAGTAATGGGTGAATGATAGATTAATACATAATCAAAGAGTAATAACCTCTAAAAACCATAAACTGCTCAATGAATGGAGCTTGAAAACACATTTTTTCATATCTCTAACTTTCAAAAACTTTGCAAATCTTTAAAAAGTTGTATTTTCTTGTCTAGTATATGAAAATAATTTGCTTTGTAAACTGGGAAGAAATATTTTATGTTATTTATTTTAGTACTAGCCTACCAAATAACTTCAACAAATTAAATATTACATGAATGATACTAAATCAATCTTAGAATTATACTAGCTTTTGCTCAGAGTTCTGTGGAATATTATTCAGTCTCAAATTATGATTAAATTAAATTGAACTTAAATTATGATTAATTTGGGACCAGCAGATGGCATAATTTTTTCCATTTTTTTTTTTTTTTGGAAAGGCTTTTTTGCTATAGGGCATGTGTGCTTGCCAGAAAGACAGAGAGCAACAGAGAGACAGAAAGCAAGAAATCACCCCCTGGGGGGATGGCCATGCCACAATCCCTTCTCCATTCTCCTCTCGGGATCTTGGGCACGTACACACAGACACCCGGTGTGAGTTTAAGCCACTGCGTCCAGGACTTGAACTGCGGTCAACTACATGGGAGTCCAGTGACATAGCCATGACACTGCTGGTCCCAGATGGCATATTTACATTGCTGGACTCCCGCATAGCCAACTACGGCTTGAATCCCATACTTGGAGACTTGAAATTCATGCTGGGCACATGTGTATGCATGCCCCAAATCCCAAGAGAAGAATGGAAGGGAAAGGAGTGTGGTATGGCCATCCTCCCTACGGGATGATTTCTTTCTGTCTGTCTCTCTTCAGCAAGCCCATCCGTCCTATAGCAAAAATCTGTCAAAATAAACAAATAAGGATTAATTTACATCATAATATAAAAGCTGTTGTCATCGTTACAACTATATTCTAGTAGCTAGGAATTCAAGTATTCCTTACTTTCAAACTTTTTTTTCATGATAGAATATGTGCTTTTGTATTTAAGAGTGAGAGTGAAGAAGAGAGAAAAGAGCACCCTCCACAGAGTCTGGTCACACTGTGATCCCCTTCCTCCAGTCCTCCAGTCTGTGGGATCTGGGGAACTCACGTGCATGCCTGGCATGGGTCAGTCTGATCTAGTCAGGGACTCATGTTGTAGTCACCAGATGGACTCCAACTACTCTAGAGTTGCATATTACTGCTGTGCCATAGAGTTGGCCCGTGTTCAAATATTCTTCACAAGATATTTCTGTTATTGAACTTGCATAATTCTCGTTATTTTTCCTGATTTTATCCTATGTCTTTTTAATACCTATGTCCTGTTGGAAAGGTGAAATTTTAAAATGTATCTATAGCTTGAAAATTAAAGTAGGTAGTTTTCCCAAAGTCAGTTTTATGGTAGAAGACTTTCCATGTATTAAAACAAAATCTGCATTTACATCTTGATAAACTGAGTACCCTGGGATTTAGTAACTTTTCTACTTGAATGTAAAATCCTGAATTACCATAGCTAGGAAGAGCTCCATGATTCAAAAGCTATGAATATACTGGGGACCAGCAGTTAGCGTAATGGCTATGTCGCTGGACTCCCCTGTATTCGACTGCAGTTTGTGTCCCGGACCCGGTGACTTAAAACTCATGCCAGGCATGTGTGCATGCGTGCCCAAGATCCCGAGAGGAGAACAGAGGAGAAGGGATTGCAGTGTGGCCATCCCCCTTGGGGGGTGATTTCTCGCTTTCTGTTTCTTTGTCTCTCTCTGTCTGTCTGTCTGGCGAGCGCACAAGCCCTATAGAAAACAAACAAACAAAAAAACTCAAAAAAAAAAAAAAAAGAAAATACCAAAAGCTATGAATATAGATTCCTGCTAAGCTTCCCTTTGTCTCCCTCATCTTCAGTGGCCATTAGAGTTTGACAGATTTAATGCTCAGATTTTCTTTCCAGAGTACACTTCTATGCAACAGAAAACCTGTTTCTCTATTCACATGAATCTATAGGAAAATCTTTAGGAATTCATATAGCTATCTCACATAATAAAAAGTACAATAAATTTATTTTAAAATCCTCTTAATTTTTAAATAAAATTGATTTTACAGGGAGTTCAAACTCACTAAAGGTAGTTTATAGTTTCTAGTATAGAGTATTTCTAGTTGCTTCATATGTCTGTCCTTATCACAGAATTCTTTATAACCCATAGAAAGCCTTGTTATAGTTTATTTAACTTGGCAGACATATAAAAAGGGTTGCATTATTTTATTCACATATTTGACAGTCACTATTTACCCACTAGTCAATATATGCAAACTAAATATCGTTGTCCCTTGGTTTCCATGAGAGATTGGTTCAGAACCCCCATAAATAACCAAAATCATGAATTCTCAAGTATTTTAATATAAAGTGGTGTAGTATATAAACTATGCACATCCCACTGTATACTTTAAATTATCTCTAGATTACTTATAATACCTAATATGGTGTAAAGGCAATATATTGGGTCGTAAGAAAAGTCATGATGCAATGCTTCAATAAATTTTTACATTGAGTTTGACTCTATTGGATTAAAATGTATTATTTTAATTAATTCCACCTTTTTCTTAAAATGTGGCTACTAGAAAATTAGGAGAATGGTTCACATTTGTGGCTCCTATGTATCTGCTGCATAGCACCCATCCAGAATGTATAACTTTGAACTATTTAAAATATTCTTTGTATGTCATTTGTGATCTGTGATGGCTTGCTATCTTTTTTCATTCACGAAATTTTAATTTTTTGCAAGACTTCCTGACTTGATTTATTCTGTTACTATATGTCAAAACTTTGGAATTTGACAGGTTACCTTAGTAGTTATTAATTCAGGTTGCTTCATAATATGTGGAGATTAAACTAAATGAATTAAGATTACCTTAAAAATAAATAACTGTTATTAGTATTGTTTTTATTTTTAAATTTTTTCAAGTACTTTTTATCTAAATTGGGTTGAATCTGAGGATATGGAACTCTCAGATATGAAGGGCCAGCTCCAATTTCAAATTCTTGCTTGATACATTGAAATGAAAAACCTACCACTATTTAATAATACATACCCTTCTATGAACAATTTTTAGAATTTTCCATCTCATTTAAAAGAGAGAACATAGAATGGTACTAGGGCCAGCAGGTGGCATAATGATGAAGGCATTGGACTCCCTATAGCAGATCCTGGTTGCATTCCTGAACTTTGTGGTTTGAAATTCACTGCAGGTGCATGTGTGTGTGCATACCTAAAATTCTGAAAGGAGAATGGAGAAGGGTTTGGAGTATGGCCTTCTCCCACTCCCTGCTCCAGAGGTTATTTCTCACTTTCCCTTCTCACTGTCTCTCTCTAAAGAGCACATGCACCCTATGGCAAAAACCTTAAAAAGTAAAATAAAAACAAATGAAAAGAGAGAACATAGAATGATATTTAAATTGTGTACCCTCCCCCAAAGAAGACAGTTGATAGATAAAGCAAATAAATATAAAATTATAAAACAGAAAGAAGACATTAAATCTAAATATGCTACAACAGTAAGCTAAAAAATATACCAAGAGAAGTGTTGCTTTATTTAAAGAACTAAGATAATGGCAGTTCTTGCACATGCCTGATTTTCTTGTGTACTTCTAAATTAGAGATACTAATCATTTCTCATAAGTTGTCTTTAAGCTACGTAAATATTATTTGTTACTCTGTTTTAACTCACAGATGTTATAATTTCTCAACAACCAGTTTAATCACTGTAATATCCTTTTTACAACAGGTTTATAGCAAAAAATTAAGCAATATCAGATTGTATTTTTTTTTAATTAAAATAGATTCTTTGCCTGGGACTATAGAAGCACTAATGGAAGAGGATGAAGAATTTGAGAAAGCATCTAAATTAATAGGACCCGTAAGTATATTCATTTACTTATTTATTTATTTTTTTTTAGTTTTTAAAATTAATGTATATCACTAGTTGGAAAATCTAAGAAGAACAGAAAATAAAATTCTTTGAAACCTATTTTTACATATATGTACATTATTCCCCACAGAGTTATTCAGGTCTACATCAAGGGCATATGAAGCTCTTTCTATAACTGGGGAAGAGGGGATGATATGAGAAAGTTAAGTTCTGCTTGCTTGTGTATATGGACTTTCTAGAAAACTATGACCTGCATAGTAAACTTCAGTAAGCTTAACAATCTTGATAAAAATAGAGAATAAATATTTTGTATATCCTGCAAGTTTACGTATTACTTAAGCATCCTATTTTTTGTCATGAAGTCCTTTTAACATTTTTGTTGAACTGTATCTCCTTAATAATATATGGGAGAACCAGGGACCAGCAGATGTCATAGTGGTTACACATTGCTGGACCTCCACATGGCCAATTACGGTTCAAGTCCTGGACCTGGTGGCTTGAAAACCATGCCAGATCTGTGTACATGAGTGCCCAAGATCCTGTGAGGAGAATGGAGGAAAAAGGATTGTGACATGACCATCCCCCTTGGGGGTGATTTCTCACTTTCCTTTTCACTATCTCTCTGTCTCATTCTCTCTGGCAAGTGCATGTCTCCTAGGGCCAAAACTTCTAAATAACAACAAAAAAAAACCTTATGGAAGAACCATTGGGTTTAAGAATCTTAATGTAATTTAAAATGAAAAGAATGACTATGGAAAAGCTGAAGTGTCTATCTAAATTCTAAGTAAGGACTTTGTGAAAGATACTGAGTTGCTATTAAACTCAAACTAATATAGTCTTGTATCATGTTAAACATAGTACTAGGCTGGGTTCATATATTTTCACATTCTCTGTATCGGTTTGCCAGGACTATTGTATCAAGGTTGACTAGACTAGTTGGTTCAACCATCAGAAATGTATTTCCTCACAATTCTGGAGGCAGAAGCCTGAAATCAAAATGTTGACCGGGTTGGTTTCTTGTGTGGCCTCTCTCCTTGCCTTCTAGATGGATGGCTTCTCCCTGTGTCTCACAGCTTCTTCCCTTTGTCTAGTACTGTGTCCTCATCTCTTACCACTAGTGATGCATTACCAGCATCACTGCCAGGGATATTGGGCTAGAACCCATCCCGCCAGCCTCATTTAACTTAATCACCCCTTTAAAGACTCTGTATCCAAATGTATCCTGAGATACTGGGATAGGACTTCAGTATATTAATTTTAGAAGAATATAATTAAGCCTTTAGCAGTCATGATTGAAACATGATTTGGATCATAGGAATTTGTTAAGAGCATCTTGTTTTCCAATAGACTTCATAATAGTAATCAAATTAACTTAGAAATGACTGAAAAATTAATTTATCTTTGCATATATGCCAGTTTCTCATTGTAGTGTCCCTAAACTTCCTTAAAATTTATAATTCTGTATTTCGTTTTTCATATAGTATTTATTATTTCTACTATGCCATGTCTAATTCATTCATTCATTGCATGTCTCCTTCCACTATAATATAAAGTCTATTAGGGCAATAATTTATGTTCATTTTTTTCCTTCTGCATCTCTGAAAGAGTACCTACACATTGTTGGTCCATAATGCATATACTGAATGAATGGCATAGTTTAGGAATAATTTCTTACATTAGAGGGAAAATATATTCCCCTTTATTCTAAAATGGTGCAACCTTATAAACAGAACCACAGTGAACCATATGGTTCAGCATTTCGTATCTTTTACCT